ATGATTTATTGTGAGCCACCTAGAGTCATTGTACAAGGCAGGTGGAGATATAAGCCCGTAAATAAATAAACAAATAAAATAAATGCTTTATCCAGATCATATTTTACACCAGAGAAAGTAGAACTCCTGCATTGCTGTTTATGATGCACATAGGATATAGGTTCATTTTTTAAATATTGCTTTATTATGGCTATTGAAAATTAAAAATTAAGCTTGCTACTGCTCTCATTCTATCTATTAACTCAAAGTACATTTAGCATATATTTAACAGGCACCTAACGGTATTGATTATGTTTTATATGACAAACCGTTGTTTAATTTTCTTTCTTATTTAACTGTCAGTAAAGTGTATTTTTGAAGCTGTATTCAGATGTGGAACTAACTAGAGCTATTGGCAATGCCATTCATCTCAGAGATAAATCACAAACTCACATTGAACAGCTGCAGAAACATTATTTTAATCTGCTTCCTACAATTCTTTGCCAAGTTAGTAGAAAAATCTGTTAGTAGCACTGAACTATTCTATCACTGATATAGATGGTCTGCTGTTGCACACTGAGTACCGAACAATCAACAAGTACTGCAACAAAACTTTCTTGTCAAAATGCATTGAATACCAAATTCAATGAATTTCAAAGCAGCTGAGTACTGGGTTATCACTATATCAATAAATCATATTATTCATATTATAAATCACATTATTCACATTCCATATTGTCATGTCATTGTACCAGGATTCCAGAGAGAGGACTTTATACTCGGACCAGTTACAAAACAATCATTTGTATATACAGTATTCTCTGTATAGGCCATTTATATTGTATACACATTTATTGTGTGTATGAATAATTCAAACATGATGCATTGCTACCAGGGCAGCACATTTTATACAGTGACGACAAGTAGTTGTTTTTATTCCACAACTATGGAATGAAAAAATTCTATTGATTGTTGCTTCTTTGGTCACATGCAACTTATAATTAATAGCAAAATGTATCCATGTAAATATATTTTTGTACAACAAAATTGAAAATAAATTCCAACCAAAACTAAGTTGATCTGATAATGAGGTGAAGCATAATATTTTAAAAATGATATGTATTTGTATATACATGGGCCTGCTGTATAAACAGAATATAAAAATAATGTATGCAGTTTTGGCTCTTTAGTAATATTTTTTCTAAAAGAAAAAATAATCAGCAAATGGAAATGCTATTGGTTTACTATGAAGAAGCCTAAAGTAATTTCTAATTGTATACAAAGGCAAACAAATATTGACAGAATAGCAATTGAGCATATCATTGTCTCAAGAGGAGGTGCTAGGATCCTGATTTGAACAGCATGGGCTCATATTTCAAATGCAGTCAACCAGATGTAACATACAAATAACACTGGAGGCAAATATTAGGGCCTCCACCTGAAACATCTGCGTAAGTACTGACTACTGGTAAGAGCAGTCCACATCATTATGCCAATGGCAATCAAGCATCCGATCCCAAAGTCAAAATATCCAGAATCCATGTGCCTAGATCTTAACCCTTTCACCAAAGAGCCATCTTTTTATTACCAGGGATTATCATGTCCATTTCATCCCAGGAACAGAGACAATTCATAGTGCTAGGCTTTTAAGCTGTCCAATAGTGTGATGGTTAGATGGCAGAAGCTCATTAAGCTTCAGCTTTTTTCTAGTCTTCACTGGAAAATGAACTGCTAGCAGATGGATTCTGCTGCCACCAGAAAAGAGGATGCTTGCACTGCATAACACGAGTATAAGTTAATTGGGGCAATTTGGGAATATAATAAGTCCAATCAAGAATACATATAAACTATAACATGCCTAGAATCTCCTATAAAACATAAGGGTTTCACAGCACAACTGTCAAATTTGGGATTCCCTGACTTAATAGTTTTAAACCACTATTCTGAAATAGCATTCCATGCCCAATCAAAAGCTGTAAATGTGACTCAAGTAGCAGAACCATGTGCTACCTGTGAATCATTTCATACAGTGCCAGGAAGAGCAAAGCAGTAAATGCAGGGGACATCAGCCCTGGTGTTACAAAAATGATTGCACAATCCCCCCATGCTGAAATGTGCAATGTCCAAATGAGCATACACCCTGCTGTAGAAGTGCCTTCTGAAAACTGGAACTTCACAGTATGAACTATTCATGCTACTAATGCAAAGCCATCCATGGTGTCACTGCAACAGAGAAATGTCTAGGATTCCTTGCCTGTCCTTCTATAGTGAACCTCCTTGCCCTTACTTGCCTCTTATACAAAGCTGAAACCCTTGAAACTCATCCTACCTTTCTATTTTATTTTGCCAAAACTAATTGGACCCACCTGTTAACATGATTCAGGAATAATTATACTGCATCCTAAATGAGGGGATTTAGTATCCAAATCAAGGGTGACTCAATAGAAAATCTCTGTTATTACCTCCATGTAATTCTATAACCAAGTTAAACAACTCCTGTTATCCTGCAGATAAATGTTTTTAAAATTTTGGATAGTGTTCTAATAGAGACTGCATTTCAGTGAATTAATCCCAAAATTGATGAATGGGAGAGAAATTCAAATGCACTTTCACTGGAACATTTGGGGTGGGGGGGGAGAGAAAAGAAAGGAGACTCTTGCACACAGAAAAAGTCATCTCAATTTTGCATGATACTAAAACACTCTTATAAAGTGCCTGCTGTTACACAAATATGTAACTTCAGGAGATTCAGATTTATCACTGCATCAGCTACTTAACTACAGCCATTTCTTGCCAGGAAAAAAGTGTCAGCATGCCAAGAATGAAACCTGTATTTTGTGAGCAATGCATCCTCCTATATTCATTAAGTACTATATATTGTAAATGTAAGGAAATTTTCATAAAATATGTTTTTGTAATAAGTAACCCCTATCGACACCCAACCCACTGTGACCACACTTTATTTGGGGGTTTCATATGTTAAAGCCTTAGAGGTTAGCAGAGAAGCAGAAAGTGGGACTGAGGCCAGATTCCCCTTCATGGTGAGGTGTGCTCTATGTAGAAGGGAAGTGAATAATCAGATGGTTCCTAAGACACAATATAATTCTGTACCCCAAACTTTCTTCTAGATTTAAAAGTTATGATACAAACTTCCTTCCCCATTCATTTACTCAACTTTTGCTTAGACTAAGATAGCCAATTAAGATGGCTGTACACCGCCCTGAGTCCTTTGGGAGAAGGGCAGTATAGAAGTGTAATAAAATCTAAACCTAAATCTAAATCTACAGTAATTGGTGCAATAAAATGTGAATGGCAGCATCAAAAGCATCACATTTGCAATTAGTGTTTAAAAACCAAAAGAAGGGGGAAGTGCTAGAATTCATACAATAGAAAAACTGACATTGAATTGCTAGAATTAAGCTAAATTCTAATTGGAACATGTATTTCAACGGTAATTCAAAATAAAAAAGAGAAAACCAGTATGTCCCACTATGAAAGGGAAAATAATTAAATGCTGCTATCAAAGTAGAAACTTGCTTGGTGCAGAATAAATGACTTTATTGTTGTTGTTTTTTAATTCACTCTTCTGAAATACTGAGATGATAGATAGATAGATAGATAGATAGATAGATAGATAGATAGATAGATACATACATACATACATACATACATACATACATACATAACAGAACTTAATCACTTCTATTTTCCTGACAAGTTTCTCTGCTGAGTGAATTTATCCAGAATTTGTATAACTGTCTGATATATCCCTTTTATATCACACTTTCCATTTCTCTCAGGCCTTGTTGATTGGTCCTCCATTTCAGCCTATAAAATGAGAATACATTGCTTCTTAAGGAAATTTAAAGAGGCCTTTGCACTATCTTTGTTTAAAGCTCTAGAGTCTTCCTATAAATCTGCTGCTAACTACTAGTGCAGGCTTGCAAATCTTTCTTCCTAATACTGAGGCTTGGACATAATGCGTACTCAGAATGTAAAAGGATGGTACTTTTAAAAAATTGGCAGAACCAAGGCAGGTGTAGTCTATAAACATTTACCATCTGCAGCAGAGGCTGCCCAGATTTTTGTTTGTTTGTTTTGTAATTTTAGGAACTCATCTGACCCAGCTAATGTGTAGAAAATAACTTGAATTGTAATTACAATTTCTTAAAAATTCATAATTTTTTCTCCAGTCCAGGCTTTTTTATTTAACAGAAGATCTGCCCTTGAAATGTGGATGTTTTCTATTGCTATGTATAAGTAAGAATAATTCTTCATTAAGCCAAATAAATATATAACTCCATATTATATAGTGTCAGTGTACAGTAGGAGATTCCATGTAATACATTTAGATTTTGAAACTTATACCGAGCAATACAGTGGTTCCTGCTTAAGGAGTATTCCTTTCAAGAAAGCTTGCTTAGAGTTGTTTTGTGCCCATATGAATTAGGGATTATGCTGAAGAATTTAGTTTTAAAAATATACAGTACTGTGTTTCAGAGAATTTGGCTTACATGTAATTGCAGAAACATGTGCTTTTTAGAGAACATTTCTCTTTTTACTAGCATAAAAATACTGATTACATGTTCCCTTACAAGGACTTTTGATTTTTGTTTCCTGCTTCTTTATTTTTCTGTATTTATTTATTCATTTTTTAAAATTATTTTTATACATCAAATTTAGAAATCGCTCATTTTATTACAGGGTGACCTATCCTTTCATATTTATTGACACTTTATTGTAACTGCTAAAAAAGCCATCCAACAGATTAGAGAAAAGTGTAAACTGCTAAATTCTGATTATTCACTTAGAATAAATAGTCATTCAATGAACTCATGGCTTTTTCTCCTTGCTAGAGAGCAGTAGATATTTTCCTTTGACCATCCATGTAAACATATAAATGATGGCGAGGATATACTTGTGGTATACATTTTATTTTATCTGTATCTTTATAACATGCAAGAAAAGTTCACTTTCAGCCATAAAGAGCAAGAAAATACAAAACTGCCTGTACAATAAAGCCAAAAGTCTCTTCTAATCCAACTACATTAGGAGGATATGTGAACCAAATGTATGCCCAATATATGAAGTATTCTTTAAGTAAAACTGAGCTCCGCTTTTGTCCTATGAAATCTCTTCTATACATAAGATAAATTAGCTTCTCTTGATTTGTTTGTTTGCTTTCTTTATATCTGACTCTTTCCTCAGAAGTTCAAGTATACCCAGTACACCATCTTCCTATTTTTCTCCATAACAAAAATCCTGTGTCATAGTTTTTTCTGAAAGAAAGTGACTGGCCTAAAGTCACCTATGACCTTCCATGGCTGATGATAGACTAAAACCTGGCTCTCTGGTATCAGTCCTAATACCATCATTATAGTGCTATGTTGTTTCTCATTATGTTTAAAGTTATAAAATGTACACACATTTAAACTTGCTGTTATCTCATTGTTTTGGAAGCTAATGTTTTTAAATGCTTGCAGAATTATAGCAGGAATGTCCGCTTCACATAAGAACTTGGGACCGATGAAAAATTTTGTGAAAATGTTGAACAAGAAAAATGGGGGTTTTCATTATTTCAGATGAGTGTTTTCAAGAATAACTGATGCCAAGATTAAAGAAGGCATTTGTGTTTTTCCACAGACCAGATACATCATTGATGAGAAGTTTGAAGCATTCAAAGGATGTCATTGAGAATTTTCTTGGCTACTCCAGATCACCAAACTGAATTCAGCTGGTTGACAATCTCCTGATAGCATACAAGACCATAAAGTGCAACCTGTTACTGATGGTTCCTTTCTGCATTGACACTTGGACTTCTTTCCCAAAAACCTAGGGGCAATCAGTGATGAACATGTTGAAAGCTTTCACCAGAACATTGCCACAATGGAAAAACAATATAGCAACTGGGATCTATCAGTGCTGGCTGACTATTATTGACGCTACAGTGAGATACATAAGATACTGACTACAAGCAGAAATCAGCAGCAAAATACTTTTGTCCCTGTTGAACTCATGCAGCCTGTCAGAAATATCATGTGATTAAATACATAGTTATTAAAATTTAATTTCATATTTCTCATGACTCCTACAAGATGCAGTCATTCTGAAATTTTACTTATGTTCAGTTTGAAGGCGTCTACCATAATCACCAAAAGTTTTTCAGGAAGCAAAACATTTGGGGGGGGGGGGAATGCCCAGTTTTGAGTGACCAAAGTGGTGCCCCAAATTATTTGTACAATTGTTTTCTCTTTTGTATAGGAACTACATTTTCCAGTAATTTTTTTATACCTGATACATATGTGGACTGCTTCTCTAACTAATGAACCATACAAGTATTTGCAATGGTACTGTACTTTCATTATTCTCTAATTGCTGTATTTGAAAATGGTTATCATGAGCTTATACAGTGCATGAGTCAGAGACCTCTCCCTGTCTCCAAAGAAGCCGTCTTGAAGCAGGCTGCCACGCGCCTGCTGCACCTGATTGTCTCATCGGCACATTCCAGGTAACAAAAGCAGACGAGCTGAGGCAAAGCCCAAGACACTGATACACTTGTTCTATCCCCACAGGTGTAGCAGCCTCCTGTTTTGCAAGCTTCTGGGTGTAGGCGTTAAGAGCTGCATTCTTTTTTAATTTGTACTCCCTCCTTTTCCAGGCGGATGGAAAGGAAGCCAACAGCAACACTTAGAGCAGAAACACAGCCTTATGTGTGAAAGGATAGGGTGGCATAAAATCATTGCCCCAAATCAGAGTATAGCTCTGTATAGGTCCCAACCTGACAGTTTCTTGATAGGTGGTCAGTCGAGGTCCCAATTAGCTCAAGGGCATTCTTCAGAAGAAAAAGACTAACCTCATGAACACAGTCAGTTTTGGGAGTGGATGAATCTGAATTTCTTTATTTACTAGTTTTAAATATAATCCAGTCAGATCCAGTGGTGAATGCTAGAGTCCTTTCTCTGTAGTATTTATTTATTAAATGCATTGCTCAAGCTGAATCAAATACATATTCACAAGCATGTCTTGCAATTTATGCACAGGGAGCAGAATATGCACGAATCCTTAAAATCATTTAACTCCTGATCACTGGAATTTCATTACAGTTGGTAGAAGTATTCCTATTCATTTGTCTGATAGGTTAACTTATCAAACTCATAAGGTTCAGCAATACAGTATAAATTCCAGGACTATTTTCCTTATAATTTACAGCTAAGTACAGTAGATATCAGATATCTAAAGTCATCTTGTTGCAGATGCATCTGTAGAAATGCTTAAAATTATTAAATTTTGCTTGAGAAATATAAACTATTTAAACTATACATTCAACAGTTCTAGAGGCACAGGGTCAGAAGTCCAGTGATTACTTTTGAATTTATATAGCCAGTCTTCCTGACCAAGCAGTCTTGTTTTAATGAAAATGTTTTTTATTTTCCTGGATCAACTACTTTTCTTTATTCCTTGGCGTAAAACATTATGTGATTGTAATGGTTCCACATCTGGTGCTGCAAAATGATACAGACTAGTTGAAAATGAATAGGAATTGCAATGACACCATGTTGCAAAAGCATCTTAACATTCAGGTACAAAAATGCAAGCTGCAGAGTTATCTAAAGAAATGGATAATATTTACTAAAGCCTACTAAGTCATTTGGAAATCAAGCTGATAGAAATTTGTTTATCACCACTTCTGAGTTCTTCAGATTCCTACATTTTTCTCTCTCTTTTAAACAAGTTTTCCAGAGTTCTTAATTGAATCAGAATGTGTTATAAAGCAATATCTATTTAGGTGAATACAGTGGTGGGTTGACCCTGGTTCGCATCAGTTCTATAGAACCGGTAGTAAAACCATCGGGAGGCTCTGCCCACCGACCCTGACGTCATCAAAATGCTTCTGCGCTTGCGCAGAAGATCGCACGCAGCCCCATTACAAACCGGTAGTAAAGATAAGTAGAATCCACCCCTGGGTGTATATATATATATATATGTTCCACTTACTTAAAATGTTTGTGTAATTTTGTGTCATTTCACAATTAATCCAGTACTTTGGTACAAGTTGGCAAGAGTAGAATGAGGAGAAATGGAAAGACTGACATCATAAACCAAATAGTTTATGTCCACAATGCCACTGAAAAGTTTGGTATGATATGTTTTACCCTTTGGTATTAAAGACCAAACCACACCAGAAGATATGTGTGCTCTAGTTTAAGTAAGCTTCTATCCCTCGAGATTTTTTTTCTTCTACCAGAGAAATAAGAATAAGATAATTCTCTGTCTAGCAATGTTTGCTTTAAAGCAATTGTTTTTAAACATCCATAACAACAGCTAGATTTTTAGAAATAAAAAAAAAACTTTTTCTGGATATATTATTTAAAATCATATTAAAATATACAGTATAGACATAGTTTGCAGCATCTTTATTAAATTTCACTATACAACAGTATTTAAGTATAGGTAGACATACATCAAAATACTTAATGTGCTTCTAGTTGTGGAGATAGACAAAACAGAGCAATAATTACACCTGCCTGAAAATTAACTTTAAAGTAGACCTTTGACAATTTGGGATAAAATACATCATAAATACCATCTAATTTTCTACAGTCATACCCCTCTTATCTTGTACTCCTTTGATAAGTAACCTTCAGCTCATTTTTGCCAACTCTTGAAAAGAAGCAAATCCAGCTTTGCTTCCAATTCAAGTTTAGACAACATGGTTAAATTAACAGCTTGAACATTACCAAAAAAAAAAAAGAAAAAAGATTAGGATAATTAATGCCAAGATTATAGAACTGGGAGTGTTTTATATTGTAGGTTGGGCCACTATTTGGGAGGCCAAATGAAATTTCTACCACCAACTCTAAACAGGTTCTGACAGTGAACTATGAAAAAGAAATGCTCCATGTCCTTAAAGGGCTTCTGCCAAGGTTCTCGGTGTTTTGAAAGGAAGCCTGCAGCTACACAGAAGAGCAGTTCTATCCCTACTTGTTTGGAAATGCAGACCACTGGAAGTATAAAAATAATATAATATGGTTTTACAATGAGGGCCAGTAATCTTTACTTATTATGAGTAGACATTACTGTAGGGATATTTTCTAATTATGGCACTAAATGCAAAAGAGTAAGACCTTCAATAGGTTAACATGTTCAAAAATAGGGTCAGAATTATGCAATCTGATTTCATTCCCAAACGTAAACTTGAGATTTGTTATTTATTTGGAGAATTAGCCACCTAGAGTCAGGGACTAGTAAAATGGCAACTACAGTACATAAATCGAATAAATAAGAAGCAGAACGGAATTAGAAATGATATGTATAATTTATCCTGATCATTTGGAAAGTTGGAATTAGTTCAGTCCTTGGCAAGTCCATTAAAGATACTCTTTTTATCTCCAAAAGAAATACTAAATGCGATGTATTTTATTACATTTATTACATTTTGCATATTATTTTTGTGCATCCATGACTCTAATGTTTTTGACATGGGGCTTTAGAGTGCAGAGACAAGCTTATATCTTCCTTGGAGATTCTGAAAGTTCTGATAAATGCTACCTAAGTCAAACTTTTTATCTATTCTTAAGTTTATATACTGTATGGCTTGCTGCAAAAATAAGCTTATATAGTGACTGTGGAAATAAGAGCTTTCAAAGCCAAAATCATTATGTTTTACAAAAATGCAGCATCAAAGCAAAAGGAGCAAAAACTTAAATAGCCCATCCATCCACCCCCATGTCTTTGATTTTGGAAATATACTGGATTGATTTGGATTTCTTTTCTTTGCTTTTAACTATTTTCATCAGGGTAAATTTTAAAATCTCAAATCCTGAATCCGAAGATGTAATATTATGTTGAAAACCCTGCTCCAAGTTCAATAATATTTCTATGCACAGGTTTTTGTTTGTTTTTTTTAAAAAAGCTACAACATCAGTGTGTTAATTTTGTGTTCATATTTATTAAATTTTTGTCCATAAAGGAACTAAATAAAGTTATCAATGAAGTATCATACTACCACTAGCCATAATATGAAGCACTCAGATTGACTAGGGTCAATGTTTTCATTTTAAATGCTAGTATAATCTTAGCATTAGAATTACACCTTTCATATTAATACTATATCTAAGATGTCACCTGAAATGCTGTTGCCTAACATGTTGTTTCCTTTTATTTGTTGCTTGTGTAACTGCCTCTGTTTTAGGCTGCTCATTGACTGAAATAAAGATTGACTAAATCTGACCAGGGTTTAAGAATAAGGGTTATTGGAGTAAGGTGATGGGCTTTTTTTTCCAGCTTTACCTAATAAGATTGCCAAATATCGAATAGCAGATATTGGAATGACAGTTTCTCTTTTAGAAGGCTATTCAGAAGTAAAGAAGATATAATCATTTGGGTAAAGCAGGATATGGAGCAGGCCAGGGCCTGCCGTAAAATACATTCACCCAGTGATTTCACTGACAGACAGAGACACTTGCCTATGGCAGGTGCAAAATTCAGGCAGTGCTCCGATTGCCTCAAGAAAAGAAAAAACCTGCGGTGAATGTTGGGACACGTTCTAAGCTTCTCAACAATTATGCATTGCTTTGTCTCTCTTCTCCCTGCACCTACCTCTCCCAGAAATGCTTTCAGGTTTGTCTTATTTTTTTTGGCCTGGAAGCACAGTTGTGGTTTACAAGGATGTGAGTAGTGGTGGTAATGGTAAAGAACAAAGTGAAGTTAGAATTTTAGAAAATCTTAAATTTAGTCAATATGCTGTTTTCATAAAGTAGCTTCCATAATTTTGGAGATATACTTGCATCTGTTAACTTTGGGCAGAGGCGTTTAGAGGAGGGCAGGAAACCTTGACAATTTAATATCCTTATTTTCTTAAGCATTTCTGATAACCCGAGTATTGTTTTCTCTAACTTCTTAAAGTTAGAGGCTGTGGCTGTGGCTCCCGGCATCCCGATATAGTCAGTTGACTCCATCACTGACTATTGGGGGCGAGTATTTGGCCCCCACTGAAAGGGCTCGCAATCTGGGAGTCCTCCTGGATAGGCAGCTGTCTTTGGAGGAACATCTGACGGCTGTTACCAGG